CCAAATCCTCCCTTTGCTCCTCGCCGCTCGTTTTACGGAAAATCTAAAGTGGTAATAAACCAACACGTTTCGAGTTTCCCAGTCAGTCCATACGCGTTGTTAAAGACCACTTGGACGAAGCTGGATCTCCATTCGACAGAAAGATGTTTGGACATAAACGGAAAAAATGGATAACTTACAACGAATAATAGGATACGCGACAGTTCTTCCCCTTTTTTATCAACGTAAGAGAACTTTTTTTCCTTGTTCATTTTCTGATAAATAGCCTGTTGAGTTCGACCGATGCCTCGAACCTTTATCTTATCTTATCTTATCTTTCGTTTTATTTTTAGTTCTTTAAGCAGAGATTTTCCTATTCTTTTGCGATAAAAATAGACGGTTCGAAAATTATTAGTAATAGATTTCTAATTTGAATATATCCAGGCTCATTTTTATTTGCTTATTTATGTCTGATCCGCATAAAAAGTTCCTTCCAAAGACTCATTACAATTTCTTAAATAATAAAATGAGCAACGACAATCCATTTATTTATATTTATATTATTAATAGGAAATGGTTTTTAAATCGTTCAATGCAGATGAAAGAATTTTTAATAATATTGAAAATTCTCTTTTCTCTTGCCATTTGTTGTTGTCTGTCTCATAGTATAGTCGATAAAATAGTTAATTATTTTTAATTGTGACTAAACATCATAATAATTTTATTATATAAAATAATTGTGGTGTCTTGAATCCATCACTAATTTTAAGGTGTGTCTCGAAACAAATCAAATACCGCATTCTTAACGGTATTATAAAAGGTTTATAATTTTAGATTTAGCCCACTTTGTAAGATATATTACCTATTGCTCAGTATTTATAGGTAAAATAAACATTTGTCGAAAACATTTAAAACCTCATTTGCCATTTCGACTTCGAGAACGTTGGTCAATTCGTGTGTTTCATCCTTGGTAGTACACTGTTTCCAAGATTTCCAAGAATTCATATTTATAAGAAAGTTTGGTTTGGTCGTTTCACGAAAAACACAAAATTAGTACGTAATTGTATTTTTTATAAAAAAACGGAAGGAAGTTTTTAACAAAAGTTTCAGGTATTAAATTTAATTTAATTTAATTCAACATTTTTTAATAAATTTTATATTCGCGAATAATCAATTTTACGAAGCGTAGGTATAATAATCTTGATTGGAATTGTTGAATTAGTTATTTTTTAGAGATTTTTTAATAAAAATTTGTAAAATTTTAATTGTTAATATGTATTATTTCAGCTTACTCCGAAATGAATCTTGCCATGGTAGCACAGTTTTTAATAGTGCTATTCCTCTTGGAGATAGTAGCAACGAGCATGGCTGCGATTTTTTTCTCATCCTTTTTGACTAATTCCAAAACGAAGCCAAAACAATCATCGACTACTAAACAGAAACCACATATCATTATCATTCTCGCCGATGATCTGGTAAATTGACAAATTTGTTATATTATTGCTTGAAATTATCTCATTTGTATTCTTGTAAAATTAAAATTTATATCAAATTATTACAAATGAAAAATACTAAAAGTAATCGTTATTAAAAAAAATGCACTCACTCGTTGAATGTTGAAAATTTAAATTTATAATTATGTACTATATATAGGGTTGGAACGACGTAAGTTTTCACGGATCGGATCAAATCCCCACGCCCAACATCGACGCCCTTGCATACAATGGTATCATCTTAAATAATCATTACGTGCCCGCATTATGCACACCAAGCAGATCGGCTTTAATGACCGGAAAAAATCCAATTCATCTGGGCATGCAACACTCTGTGCTCTTCCCAACCGAACCACGAGGGCTCCCCTTGAGCGAGAAACTGTTACCCGAAGTACGTTTCCCCGTTTCGTGATTTTTCTTCATTTTTATTTTTTCTTCTTCTTTCATTTTTTCATTTTCATTTAAATTCACAATAAGATATGTGTAATTGTTACTTTTATTTGAAATAAGAATAATTTTATTTAATTCAATATTACTTTTACAGTATTTGAGAGAAGTAGGATATAAAACACACGCTGTGGGAAAATGGCATTTAGGATATTTTAAGAAAGAATACACTCCGACTTATCGTGGATTTGATTCACATTTTGGTTATTGGAACGGTCTTCAGGATTATTACACGCATATCACGCAAGAACCTGTGAATATATTTAAAATTAATCTTTTGAATTTATATATTGTACATTATGTTACTTATAAATTAACACGTTGAATTGATAAATCAGTTTTATATAAAGATAATTCTTTCAGGATCCGACGTACAGCGAGTTCAAAGGTTTTGACATGAGGCGAAATCTCACAGTGGCATGGGACACCGTAGGAAAATATTCTACAGATCTGTTTACGAACGAAGCTGTAAGATTAATTAATGAGCACGATACTGATCAACCAATGTTTCTGTACCTGGCTCACTTAGCTCCTCATAAAGGAAATGAAGAACAGCTGTTTCGAGCACCCGATGAAGAGATTGCCAAATTTTCGTACATTCTTGATCCTGAAAGAAGAATTCAAGCAGGTGAATTAAAATCATCTAGTTAAAAAAAAAAATATTCCATTTTAAAAGAAATTAAAAAAGAAGAATAAACAATTTCTTAAATAATATTGAAAAATCTCTCTGAAAAATAATATTTTATCTGTTACTAAAATAATTTTCTTATATAATACAATATAATCATAAATTGAAATAACATTTTCTTGTAATTTTAAAATGCTCTAATTTAAAGCTGTTGTATCAAAATTGGATCAAAGTGTCGGTGATGTAATGGATGCACTAAGGAATCGTGGCATGTTGGAGAACAGTATAGTACTTTTTATGAGTGACAATGGTGCACCAAGCGAGGGTGAATTGAGTAACAAGGGCAGCAATTATCCTCTTCGAGGCGTAAATATATTTTTCACATTATATTTTTATATTAATTTTGAACAGATTAAAATCTGAATACTTTTCAGATAAAGAATAGTCCATGGGAAGGTGGAACGAGAGGAGTTGCAGCTATTTGGAGTCCTCTAATTAAGAAATCTAAAAGAGTTTCTAATCAAATGATGTTTATGTCTGATTGGCTTCCTACACTTCTATCTGCAGCAGGTTAATGAAATAATATTAAAAGCATTAATAACTCTAGCTTTTAATTAAAGTGGAAGGAAAAAATCATTAAAGAGATTTAAATTCCTTTCTACGTGTATCTTTCAGGAGTAGATAGAAGGCAACTTGATAACATCGATGGATTTGATCTCTGGTCAGCCTTGGTGTTGAACAAAATCAGTTCCAGATCCGAAGTAGTGCTGAATATTGACGATCTTAGTGATTATGTTGCTTTCAGACGAGGTGATTTTAAATACATTATCGGTCGAACAGAAACTGGTAGTGCTTGGCTTGGAGCAAGTGGAGATCCATCCGAAGGCATTTCTCCGCAATACGATCCTTATAAAATATTGTACAGCAAAACTGGTGTTGCTATTTCTGGTATTATTACTGCTAAACAAGCGATGGAATTGAAAGAAAGAAGAAAAAGAAGCGTGAAAATATATGATACTGCATTAGAAACTAATTTTGAAGAAAAGATACTCAGTGTTGAAAATATTTCCGAATTGCGAAGGAAAGCACAAATAAAATGCAATGTCAAAGAGAAAGATAGAGTTAGTATTATAATTAAATATTTTTTATAAAAATTTATCTTACATCATATTTATTTTTTTTAATAAATAAAAAAAATACGTATAGTTTATAATAAATTTTATAATAATCCTGTTTGATAAAATTTTAAAAAATTTCTCTATAATTTTGCCATAGATACCTTGTGAACCAATGACAGCACCATGTCTCTTTAACATAGAAAAAGATCCTTGCGAAATGGTGAATCTTGCCAAAACAAGACCAATGATTATGGCTATTCTGGAAAGAATTCTAATGAAGTACAGAATAACTGTGATACCTCCTAGTAATTTAGATGGAGATCCTAGATCGGATCCATCACTTTGGAATAACACTTGGACCAGTTGGTGCGAAGCTAATCCATTAGCACTCTCTTATACAAATATTGAGGAATTGAAACAGTCTGGTCCAGCAATTGCACTGATGTCCATTATTTTTGGCCTTTTCGTTGTTGGTATAATAATGTTATTCACTTTGAAGTGTGGAAAAGGTAACTCGAACAATTTAGAAAATCCTGAATATCAGAATAATCATGAAGAAATTGCATATACTACAAACAGTAATGAACAATCATTTTCTATGTATAGTATTATAACGAATACGAGACAAAGTGATATGTCTAAGCATAAACAAATAAATTGACACTTTGGAACGAAATATACGAGGAGTAAACCTCTTTTAATTACTATAAAAATTTATTACATTAATCGAATTCTCGTGCAAAAATGATATCATAATATTTGTTTATTCATATATTTATGAAATGAAACACATACGAAATTTTTACCTCGTATAATTTCGTTCTTTATTATTTTCTTCATTTCATTTCTTCAAAATGTGATCCACACGATATACACGATTATATCGTGGATAGGATAACAATGATAAAATGAAACAAATTTCCTAAAGTTAGAAGTACCGCTTGTTAAATAAGTTTGTTGTACTTCGAAAAAAAAATCATGATTCAATACATTTGTAAATAATTCACAATCTTAATTAACATTTTACAAAATATTAAATATTAAATATTAAATGATAATTGAGTGGATGTATGAAATAAGGGTAGGAGTTATCATTTTATCTTTTTTATGAACATCAGTATTTCATTCCATTATTGCTGAATAGTGATACTGATAAAATACGAATTTTTTATTGTTCGAATATTATTTACCAATTTCTTATTTCCATATCCTTTTTGCATATATCGATTCAATTTACGACATTTGCAACCTAATTAATACATGCATATTTATTCATTTAATTAAAATATATTACATTAATGACTAATAATAAAAACAATTTTAATAAATGAATACTTTTGTTTCATAATTTATTTATTCAACGACGCTTTCTTTTTTCTGTACAAAATATTTCGTGGAAATAGAAAGTTCGAATCATCATAGTTAAAAAGCAACAAATAATTACGGCACTTGCAGTGATAAAACATTTTCACAATTAATATTAAATTTCAATCATCGTATGATTTGTCAACATTTCATTAGAAATTTATTTTTTCGATTCAATCGATAACATTTTATAGAAATATTCGTGACATTAAATTAATTGACAAATCACAGATAATTTGCATAATAGACAATGGTAAACAAAAAAATTTGCAGAAATTAAAAAGAATTATTATCGGAACAAATACATTTGTATCGAATATTAGATCTCGATACTCAAGAAACATCTTACGCCCTATTAACAATTTCATGGCTAATAAAATAACTGAAATATACATTTCTTCAAGGCAATGTTCGTTTATAATTTATCTAAACACGACAACTATACAATGATTATAATACAATTAAGTCCACTCCTCACTTTCTCTTCTTCTCTGAAGAGGAGCGACTTTTTAGAACCCTTTGAAGAAGTACGACAATAATATGTGAATCACATTTTTCAATCACGTCGCAATGTGTCGACGAATTAATTGAAATATTCAATTGTTTTTGACTTGTTCGATTTAGTTTAATTACAGAAATAGTCTCGGCAGTTGGCACTTGGCAGGAATGTATCCAGAAGGCAAGGATAGTGTCCACCTCACCATCATTAGTATTCCATCACATATGTACCACTTTTGGCGTACTGCAATTTGTTTGAACATCACGTTAAAATAATACTTCATTAAAAATATCTTTTAAATTCATATTAAAATTTTATAAAGACATTTTTTTATAATAAAATTGTACAAAAATTTCAATATTATTATTTCTCTTTATTAATACAGGTATCTTTATCAATATTAATTATATATTTACCTTTTTCCCCATAGCCAATTTAACAAAACACTCGATTGACTCTGGACATCCCTAGCTGTAAACACAAAAATAAATAAATTTACAATCTATGTATTAACATATTTTAAAATTTCTAAGTAAAAATTTCTTTTTCTTTTCAAACTAAATAGATATTCTATTCGATTAAGATTTAAAAAGCTTATTATGTAACAAAAAACACTTACAAAGCCAACCAAGTATTTCTACATAAAACTCTGAAGAATAAGATAAAAATTGAGGATACATACAGAGTGTGTAATTTGCATTGACGAGTCTGGCAGCTGCTTCAGGGGGTAAAGTACTTAAAACGTCTTTGTGCGCTAGTAAAGACATTTGTTGTGTGTGTCTCAACTCTCGTTCATCCCTCAATCGCACATCTTTTGAATGGCTCACCGTTTGCAGTTGTGACAGCCTGAAGGGAAAACTAGCTTATACAATAGAACAAGAAGCTTACTATAATACTGATCAATATGTCTTAATACTGCTGTCTTTCTGCCAAGGAATATGATAAGTTAATTCTTTCAAATCTACCACCAAGTATTTAAAGCTCTTATAAACAGCTTATATTTTTACACCTAGTTGATCCGTGAACATATCAAATTGAACTCTGTTAAAGTACAATTGTTATGCTTTCTTTTTCATTTTTATTCATTTATTTTATTATTCTTTATTCAATATAATTATAGAAAAAGAGATCTAAAAGAAAATTTTATTCATCAAACCTTTGAATCTCTAATGTTCTGGAAGTAGCAGGAACTCCAAAAAACGCGTTCGTTTCTTGAAAAGAATTCATATTTAAATGAAAAAATTTATCTTGTTCGGATTAATTGGTGCAGAGCTTCAAACAACATTAACAAATCGTACAGGGCTACAGAGGAAAGGATGAATCAACTTGGAAAGCTTGTTTCCGGATCTGCTACGCGCTAAGCAATCTTAGGGGCTAAACAAATGCGTAATCCTTTAATTAGCATACTTTAGAAGATTCTTTTGTTGAATAATAATCTTATTTTGTAAGAAACTATCAAAAAACAATTCATCAAAAAAGTAAAAATGAACAGTTTATACAAAATAGTATACAAGATGGTATACTAGAAACAAAATATATTATTATTATTTCCTTTGACAATAAAAAAAAGAATTAATTTAATAATAATATTTCCTCAATCTGTGAAATGACCATGTTTTCCATTACAACAATTTTTCAATTGTAATCCATAGTTTCCATAATCAAATAAAAAAAGAAATCAAAATAAATTATATTTTTGAATATTACAATTATTATATGTAATATATGTAATATATGTATTATATATATATATAATATTATATGTAAAAAAAATTTATTCAAATATTTATCATTAGCATTCCTTCCTACACAATGTTATTGAGAAATTTCAATCAATACATGATTGAAAAAAAATGTGAATAATACATACTTTTGGGCAAGGATTTCCTTGTTTTCCCCAATCGGTGCGTCAATAGCTTCTTTGGCTATCTCGACTGGTCCCTCAGACTTGGATGGCGAAGGATGTTCTACAATTGGTTCCACAGTGCCTCCAGAAGTGGTTGCCTCCATTTTCGGGCTGAAGTCTATATTCGTTAAGGTACCTTTTCTCAAGTCTTCATTAACTCTGATCGCGTTAGAGAGGCGTAATTGCAACGTATCGCGTTCTTCGAGTAACTGCATCAATTCGTGCGTCAATTCTTCGCATCTTACGTCTCTTTGATGAAGCATGTACAACGCAAGATCTAATTCCTGCGACGCTGATGTTTTACTCTTCTCATCAGAGGTTTCCATGTTTCCAGCAGCTGTAGAAGTATCGAGAACAGATACGTCTTTCTTTAAAACGTTTTGTATCAATTGATATTCCTTCACTTTATCCTCTAAAAGTGTCTTCAACGAATTGATTTCGATTTCTCTGGCCGTCAAAATATTTTTCAATTCGGTAAATCGCTTCTCTCCCTCCTCGTACAACGATACGAGTTCCTCTATACGCGCTTCCTTCTCGTAAATTTGTATCTTCAAATTGTGAAGCTCTGCATCTTTGGTAATGCTCAATTCGGCCAATCTTCGTTCCTTCTCCGCCAGATCAGAATTTACTCGTATCAAATCCTCTTCCTTCCGACGTAATTCATCTTTCGTCCTTCGCTCAGTCGTGGACAACTCCATCAACTGACTTTTCAGATTTTCAATGTCTCTATTGTTGAACGATAACTCATCCAAGATTTTTTGATTCTCCATAGCCAAGTTTCGCTTTATCTCGTCGATCTCCATTTCCTTCTCTTTCAACATTCTCTCCAAGAATTCCTCACCCTCCAAACGAATCTGCTCCTTCTCCGCGTTAAGCTTCTGTACAGCTTCCCTAGTCTGTTCCGAGAATCTTTCAAACTCTTGCAAGCGAGACACTTCCCTCTGCAATTCGACAATTGTTAATTTTACATGTTTAATTTCCTCTTCCTTACCGTATAATTCAGCAGTTAATCTTTGAACCATCTCCCGTAATTCAAATTCATCCGACTGAGGCTCCATGCTTGCTTGGACAGACAACTGAGAGTCTTTTTCGGCTACGATGTACTTGAGTTCGTTAATTTCTTGCTCCTTGGCGTACAACTCATTCTGAAGCCTGACAATTTGTTCCTGTTCCTGGATCGATCTTCGATCCCTGGAACGAAGACTAGCTTCTTCTTTGGAAACGAATTCCTGGCTTTGCGTCTCGATTCTTTGCGTCAAAGCATGGATTTGCTTCTCCTTTTCCTCGGCCCTTGCATTGATCACCTCCAATGAAGATTCCAACTCCGCCTTCTCATTGTACAGACAATTGATCCTTTGTTGCATCTCTTGAATTATATCTGGATACGTGTTCTCGCTCAGAATATATTTCAAATGCTCGATCTCTTCTTGCTTCCTTTCAAGTTCAACCTGCATATTGTCTACGGTATGCTGTAAATTTTGCTCGCCATTGCCCATTCTAAACACAGGTAAACCGTCTATCATGTTAGTAGAATTACGTCGATCCTGTTGCAAACTCGACAATCTATCAATTTCCATTTGTCTCTCGTTCAACATCTGATTACTTTGATCCAGAAGAGACATCTTTTCGTTCAAATTCTGCCTAGTCTCCTCCAAAACTTTACGGGTTGCTTCCAATTCCGAGCTCAAATTGTTCACTTGCTCGCCCTTCCTCGACAGTTCATTCTTCAACTCTTCCACTTTCTGTGTCTCCATACGAAGTTCGCTCAATTCTATTCTATTCTTTTCTACAATTTCCATATACTCTGTCGTCTCCTCTACGTTCTTTCGCAAGATGGCCTCTTTCTCGTCTAGGAGTGATCTCATGTTTTCCACTTCCTGCTCCAAAGTCTGAATACGTAGCGTACACTCGTTCAGACTGGCCAAGGTTGCTGCAGACTCGTTCAAACGTTCACGCAGCTCTTCAATAGTTTCCACGGATCTCTGATTCTCGAATGACAATTTCTGAATTGTTCCCTCCCTTTCGGACAATTCCAACACTCTCTCCCTCAATTGCTCCTCCGTGGACGTAAATCTCTCTCGAACAGACGCCAAACTCGACTCCTTTTCCATTAAATTCTTCCTCAAGAGTTCTAATTCTTGTCTTTGGGCTTCGAGTTGAACAACGTTGTTCTGTTTCTCGAGCAAATACTCGTTTATAGCTATTTCTAACGTGGACAATCTTTCGTTGAGGTTTTGCACGTGTTTATCCCTCTCCTCGATTTCTATCGCGTGCTTTTGCATCAATTCTTGAGTTGCCTGACTTACGAGGGCGCTCACCGTCTCCACGCTCTGCCGCTCGATAAATTCCTTCTCCTTCTCGGTGAACGATCTCCTCAAATTCTCCATTTCCTGCCTCTTTTCGTCGAATTCTCTATTCAACTCGTGTATGGTATTCTGCAACTTCATCTTTGCTTCTTCGTGCTCCACGTACTGTTTCTGAAGCTCTTGCTTCAAGTCCGCCACTTCCTGTATCCTGATGTTCAAAAGATCGGTCACCTCTAACATGGATGCATTCAAAGAAGAAACTTGCTTCTCCGAGGACGCCGTCAAATCTGTCAATCTCTCTTCCAGACTCAATTTCTCTCGCAAAGCTTTCTCCAAATTCTTTCGCAACTCTGTAACGTTCGACTCGGAAGCCTCGAGCTGTTTGCGCAAATCGGCTATCTCCATTTCCAATTTTCCCGTCCTCTCGAAGGCCTCTTCTTTCAAGTAATCGGCGTTTTGCCTCATTGCTGTAACTTGATCGTTAGCGTCCATCAAGCTCTGCTCGTATTGCTTCCTCAACAAATCATACTCCTCCCTAGATTTACTCAACACCGCCTGCAATTCAGAAATTTTTCTGTTTAAGTCGTCCACGATCTGGATGGACTCGTCCACCTCGGCGTTTCGTTTCGCCTCTAACGCGGACAACTTAATCTTTTGCTCCTCTAGGAAGCGTTGAAGTTGCTCGTTCTCGGTCGCGAGCGCCTCCATCTCGTCCTTGAGATCGTCGATCTCCTCCTTGTACTTTTTCGACAAACTTTCGAGATCCGCGGAACGTTTCCCCCTGTTCGCCTGCTGCTCTTGCTTAACCTGTTGCTCGGTCGCCGAGGGATCGGCTTGCTCCTCGACGATCCGAAACGTCGTCGCGCCTCCCTGCAAACGTTTGTCGAGAATTTCTACCTTTTCGGATAATTCTTTGTTTCGAATACGAAGTACCTCCATGTCCATGTCCTGCCTCTCTTTCATCTCCATGTACCTCTCGTTCGCCGAGACAACAACGTCCAACCGCTTCATCAGCGCCTCCTTCTCGGCTACCGTGTTTCTCTGCTCCTCCTTAATCTCGTCCAAACTCTTCTCCAATTTTCCTATCTGCGACTTCAACTCCTCCTCGATAGCCGAGTCCAATCCGCAAAAGTCGCTGGCCGATTTCTGTATCTTCAATTGCCGTTGCAGGCTCTCCGTCTGCACCTTGTACTCCTTCAGCTTCTTTATCATTTTCGCGTTCCTCAATTGGGCGGCCTTGTTCTCCTCCCCCATCCTCGCCCTCTCCCTCTCCAAATCTTTCACCTGATCCTGGAGATCGTCTATCTTCGCTCGTAGCTCAATCTCCGCGTTGCTGATCAACATTGTGGACGCCATAGCCTGCTCGCTGTCCAATTGCGCGTCCTCCGTGTTCCATCCCCATATCTCCTCGTCCACGTTGATTTTCTCCGCGTCCCACGTCCCCCCAACATCCAGAGAAACGTTTTTCTCCTCCAAGACGATGTTCCCCCCGACTCGTTGGTCCTCGTTCAAAGGGGTTGATTCCTTCGTTGACGTAATAGGCGTCGCTTCGTCGCATTTACAGGCAGCCTCCTCCAACGCTCGGCTAAGATTCGCCATCGCTTCTTTAGCCTCGTCCCTCTCGCGGCCAACCCTCTCGATCTCCAGCTGCAAGTTCGACCGGCCAAGGTTGACCGAGTCCTTCAACTCCTCCATGGATCTCGTCAAATCGTTTACCTGCAACTGTAACAGATCCCTCTCCTTCGTGAGCGACAAAACGCGCTTCTCCTGTATCGCTTCGAGGTCGGTAGAATTTTTCAATTCCGTCTCTAAATTGTTTATCTGTGATTCGTAGGATCGTAGAAGGGAATCTTGCCGATTTCGTTCAACGACCGCCTCCTCCAACGTCTCTTTCATGGAACTCAGCCTCGCGTTCAACTCCCTCAATTGATCTTCTTTGGCCAGCAACGATTCCTCGAGGTTATCCGTGTCGTTTCTCTGTTCCATTCTCAAGTTGCGCAACTCCACGTTCAACGAGTCGATTTGTCTTTCTTTCTCGGCCACCAGTTGTTCCGCCATTTCCAAATTGGAGCGAAGTTCCTTTTGCGAGGCTTTCAACTCATCGATCTGCGTCCTCTCCTCGATCATCGTCGCCTGCAATCGATTGACCTCCTCGGTCAGATTGGAGCATTGCCCCTCCTTCTCCTCCAGCAGGGCCTGCAACCTCTTCACCTCCTTGTCGGCCAGAGAGTCGGAATCGGGAGGGGTTGGCGCGCTGCCGAAGATCCTGGAGGCGTCGAACAATTGAGGGGGGAGGGCGTTCTCTCGAGGAGCTGTAACGAAGGGTTCCCTGCTAGATTCTGCTAGATTCTTATTTTTGTACGCGTCCAACTCCGTTTCTAAATCTTTTATTTTCCTTTCGTTCGAGTCTTTGTCCGTTTTGAGAGACTCGATCTCCCGTTCCAACTTAAGTCTCGTATCTTGCAACAATTTCTCTGCCGTTTCTCTCTGCACCTCCATGGATTTGAGAGATTCTGCCCGGTCGTTCAATCGTCGTTCCAGTTCCTCCCCGCGCCTTTGAACAATTTCCATTTCCTGTCGCACGTTTAACAATTCCTTCTCGCGTTCTTCCAACCTTTCAACCAGATCAGAGTTCAGCGCATCAACGTTCTGCAACCTTTCCACGCTCTGCTTGCTGTCCTCCAACACACGCTCGGCGGTGATTAACTTCTCTTGCAAAGTGTCGTTCGTGGAACGCAACTGGTCAATCCTCCCTCTCAATTCCTCGTTCTCCCTCGACGCTTTCTCCAAATTCACCTTCACCTCCTCGTGACTCGACGCCAACGAGTTGTACTGGAATAAAAGATCGTTGTACGGATCCTCGAGGGTTCTGTTCCTCATACCTGTCTGATTCATCAGATCGTTGAACCTCAGGGATTCCCTCATCTGGACGAAATTACCAATGGAATTCGCCAACTCGTTGTCCAAGTTCTCTATCTCGGCTTCCCGTTCTTGCAATTTCGCCTCCAACGCTTGGACCAACGTCTGGCACTGCTCGCAATGGCTGCAGCGCTCCAAGCCTCCGCTCGTTTTCGCGTCATCCTCGTTCGCAGTCTCCTCCCCTTGGGTCTGGGTGGCCTCCGCTCGGGCGTCGACCACCGCCGATTTCCCCATCCGCTCGAGCAACAACCGTCTCTCCTCCGATTCTTTCTCGACCGTCTCCAATTTCTCGTTTATATGCGCTTGTTTCGACAACAAGAGGCCGTTTTCCGCCTTAAGGTCGTTGATCAGGGTAAGGTGTTCGACGTATTCAGCCTCCATAACCTGCATCCTCACGCTCAACTCCCTGGCCTTCTCCTTCATCTCGTCCAATTCCAACTGCTTGCGCTCGCTCTCTTGGACGATTCGCTGCCTGTAAGATTCGTACTCCGACAATATATTCCGCCTGCTCTCTTTTTCCAACGTAAGATCGGCCGTCGAGGATTCGAGATCCGCTCGCAACTTTACAATCTCCTCCTCCATCTCTGCAATTTGTTGGGCGAGCGAGGTCATCTTCTCCTTCAAGTTCGACGAATCGCTAGTCAGTTTCTCGATACTCTTCGACGCTTGTGCAGTCTCGTTTCTAGATTGGGCAAGCTTCTCCTCGAGATCGGCTATTCTGTTGTCTTTCTCGCGGATCGCAATCTCCACGTCTTGAATTTGCTTGTTCTTTGCCTCCTTCTCGTCTTTCTCGGTCGTCCATTTTTCTTCCAACTCGGCAACCCTGGTCTCAAGCTCCTGACAAACGGCCGTTTTCTTCTTCAAATTGGCAGCTATCTTTTTCATCTTTTCCAATTGGGTCTGTATTTTCTCCTCGGAATCTTTCAACTTTTTCTCCAAATCGGCAACCTTTGACTCTAAAGCAAGTTTAACCTCTTCGGTCACGTTGCGACCGATTAATCTCTCCTTCTGTTCCAATTCTTCCTTCAATATCTCGCATTCTTGCATTTTTCCGGCCAATTCTTCGATCACATTTTCGAGTCTCTGGTTTTGCAATTGAGTGTCCTCCGTGTGCTTCAATTTCAACTGTTCCATTTGTTTATAATTGCTTCTCAATTCCGCTTGCAAATCATTGACAAACTTTGCATTGTTGTCTATAATGCTCTCCAATTCCCACACCCGCCTTTCAGCTTCACCTTTCTCATCTTTGGATTTCACGATTTGTGCCTCCAGATGATCTTTCGTTGTTATTAAATCGACGAGTTCCCGTTGCTTTTCGGTTAATTGATCTTGAATATCGTTATTATGCTGCGACAAATTTTTCACTTTCTCCGATAAATTACTATTTTCTTTCGTGGTTGCGTTAATTCTGCACTCCAATTCATCGAGAATCATATTTTTATCCTTCAATTTTTCCATCAAATCGTTATAATCTTTCACAGGTATCGACTCCTCCATTTTGTCATTCAATTCGGTAATATTTCTCCTCAATGAATATATTTCTTCTTCTTTACTTTTTACTAGATTATTGAGATTTGAAACTTCATTGGTCATCGATGTTATCAAAGAATCCTTCTCTTGGATTAACAATTTACAATTGTTAAATTCATCTTGCAAACTGTCTATCGTGATCATTTTATTTTGGAGTTCCGTGTATTTCGCTTGTAATTCTTGATCCTTTTCCTCCATGGTTTCTTTCAATCTAATAATTTCATTTTCTTTCTCAGAGATTATTGAAATTTGTTCTTGAAACTTTGATTCAAATGTCACCGTTGTATCCTGCAATTGTTTTTTCAATAATACAGTTTCCGCATTTTTCTCATTATTTTCTTCTAATAATATTTTATTTTCGTTTTGTAATGTTCTGAATTTTTCTTCAATGGATGCTTTTCCCGTTTCCAATTTCTCCATTTTTTCTTGCATTTCATTGCACTTATATTTCCATTCTTCTATGGTACTAAACATTTCTCTCAATTCATTCTCCAAACTTTCAGCTTTCTTTCCAGATTTTTCATAATCCACAATCTGTTGACTTTTCTCTTCTAATTCTTTTTCCTTGTTTACTAATTTTATTTTCATCTCTTCGATTAGACTTGTTTGCTCGACGATCAAATTTTTGCATTTTTCTATCTCCTGTTCCAAAGAAACAACGATCATCGATTCTGTTTGTTGAGATAAAGGTTCATCTAATTGTGGTGTTTTAAGTAATTCTTCATCAGATTTTTCCAAAGGAATACTAATTTGTTCATCGAGTTGTTTCTTCTCCTCAATATTCTGTTTTTCAAGATTCGGTTTATCTAATTTTTCGGTAAGTTTTGAATTCTCGTTATTAGAATCCAACATTTCATTAAGTTTTAAATGTAATTCTTCTTTTTCTTGTGTAATTTTCATTACATTTTCTTCTAATTTTTGATTAGAGGTTTTAAGTTCTGACATTTTTGTAACTACTTCTTCGTTTTCTCTTAACAATTCTTCTATTTTAATTCTCAAATCATTGATTTGAAGATCCTGATTTTTGTCGTGCCATTGTTCCAATGAATTACGTAATTCTTTTACTTCTTTTTGTAAAAGATCCTTTTCTTCTATTAATACATTAATTTGTGTTTTGAAATCAACATCCCTTTTCGATACTTCAGATTCTTCGGATTGTTTAGTTTCAATTTGAACTTCTAATTTATCTGGCTCAATAGTTAAATCAGTATTGTTTATAGACAACATTTCAATTTCTTTATGCAATCTATTATTTTCTTCAATGAAATCCATTAATTGAATTTTAAGTTTCGATAATTCCATAGATCGATTATCATTTTCTTGCTCCAAAGTATCAATCTTTAATTTCAAATCAATATCCGATTTAGATTCTATATATTCTAATTGTTCCTCAAGTTTCGTAAGTTTAATTACAAGTTCGCTATTTTCTTGTGTAAGAAGCTCAATTTTCGTCATACTCTCATTATTTTCTGGTATTCGTTCAAAAGATTCTGTCGAACCCGTATCTGAGGATCCTTTCTCTTCCACTCTACTCAATTTCATTGTTAAATCACTATTTTCTTGTGTTAATTGATCAATTTTCTTTAATAATTCATTTTTATCAATGTTATTCATAGATTCGATGGAATCAGCATTTTCTTTTTCTTGAAGTTTATTTAATTTAAGAGTTAATTCATTGTTTTTCTGTGTTAAATCTTCGATTTTTTTCAACAAATCAGTTTTATCTAATTCTTGTATAGCTTCAAATGATTCAGTAGATCCAGTATCAGATGTTCCTTTTTCTTCAAATTTCGATATTCTATTATATAATTCGGTATTTTCTTGTGTTAAAGTTTCCACTTGTTTAATTAACTCTGCAGGATTAACCTCTGATGAAGATTCTAATTTACTTTCATTTTGCATTCTATGCACAGCTTCTAATTGTTCTTCAAGATCAACGACTTTTATTTCTGCAGTTACTCTAAGATTCTCAGATTCTGCATTTTCCGCCTCTAAAGACGAGATTTCTTGTTTCGCCATATGAAGCTCTGAAATAAAGATTATATATTTGTTGAATAATTAACTTCATTTTTTTTTTTTTTTTTTTTAAAAAAATCTTTTTCTAATTTGAAATTCAATATTAATTTCACATATAAAACATATAATACAAAAAAAAAAAAAAAGATACATAAATTACCTTGCAAAAGATCCAATTTTTGATTCTCTAGAGTAGCAATGGCTTCAATTTGCATTTCAATTTCTTTCGTTTGAGCAGAAACTTTACTTTCAAGATCAACAACACGTTCTTGCCAATCTCCTGCTGAGGCTATGCAAACCGTACAACATGCCAATGATGTATGTATAATTGATATTAATTGATAATAAATGCAAAAGCAAGCAAAACTTAAATGTTATAAATAAATTTAATAATAAATATTTAACAAGCTTAATTTTTTTATAATTATGTTTGTTCAAGGATTAATCTTGCAATAAGCATGATTAATATGTAAAATCAATTAATTCAGCAAGCAGATTCCCAAAGCAAATATAATTTTTTTTTTTTGTTTATTAATATAATCATTCATTTATTTGTTATGTATCTAAATAATATTTATGTTATAAATCATGTAATAAAATCGTTTCATATGATACCAATAATGTAAATTATATAAGGCAAAAGATTTAAAAGAAAAATAGCAAAAATTTTTTTTAATTGTTCATGCAAGTAAATAATATTAAAATGTAAAAAAATACAAAATATAAATATCTGCTAATAAAATATATTTAATTTTATATCAGAGTGTAGCAAACTTTGACAAGTAAAGTAGGTACCATGTTATGTTAAAATAGTAAATTTAATATAATTGATTAGTATATTATAATACTCAATAAATATTTTGATTTAGAACGAATATCTAACTAATCAAGTAAAAAGATTCCATCACCAAAAATTAGCATAATTATAATTTTCTCAATATCAATATTTTTCTTATAGAGAAAGTAATAATAAAAAAGATATTAACAATTTGTTTTATATTGATAAAAATCAATTATTAAAATATTTAATAAAATCTCTTTTATATATTATTAAATATATATATATATGTATATTTATGTACATAAATAAATTGAAATTTCTCCGCAACCAGGAAAACAGGACTGTGGATAATTACTTTAAGAATAATATATATATAAACAGACAATGCATTGCACGTACAATGAATAACATAACTAGAACAATGGAAACAGCAATGACAGAATTTCTGTCCTGGTTCCTACCTTTAAGCTCGTCAAAGTCTACCAGACTCAGCTGAAGGTTACCTTTCTCCTCCTCTAATAATGCCACTTGATTCCCCAATCTGACAAGTTCCGCATTTGTATCAGATATCTAAATCACAAAATTACATATAAATATATTTTATTATAATTTAATATTTATTTATGTTTTCAAACGAAAATTAATTAAAAAGCTTTGAAATTAACAATAAATCTTTCATCTTATAAATAATAATATTAACAAATCTTGCCTTTTTAAAATTTTCCAATTGTTGTTGTAAACTTTTTACTTTACTTTTATGCTTTGCTTTAATTTTGATCATATTTTTATTTAATTCTTCTAATTCCTTAGAAAGTTTTGCCACTTTTTCATCTTCTTTAATAATACCCTCTTCTGGTAACTTCGCCGCAATTTCATTTTTTTCTTCTTCAAGTTTATGAACAAAGTTTTCAAGATCAGTTATTTTATTTGAATACTCTTCATTTTTTAAAGTTAAATCCGCTACTTGTTTTTGTAATTCTGTTTTAGATTCTTCTTCAAGAAATTTATTAGATTGTTTTAACTCTTCTACTAAATTTTCAAGTTCAATTATTCTATTATCTTTTTCTATTATTGCACCATTACCATGCATAGATATATTTACAATTTTATCTTGTAATTCTGCAATGCTTTTTTGTAACTCATATTTTTCATCTTGCAATTGTTTATTATTATGTTCCAATTTTTCTAATTTGAATTGTAAATCATCAACAGTTGGATCTCTGATTATTCCAATACCAGATTCGAGTTTAAAAACTCGTTCATTAGCTTCTGCTAATTTTAACTCATAATCTTTTAATTGTTCCAGCAAATTGTCGTTTTTCGCTTTAAGTGAAGATTCCATAAGTACAAAATTTTCTTGCATTGATTTCATAGCTTCTTTAGTTTCTACCAAAGTATCCATGGTAGAGCGAGAGAAATCGACACTGGCAGTCTCAGACAATTTTTGCTCATTAATCTGTTTCCTAAATCTAAATAAAAATAAATAATAAATAAATATATATCAATCGAAAAATAAAATATTAAAAATTAAGAGAATAGATAAAATTTTAAAAAGTTTATATATAAAATTACCGATCAACTGAATCTTCTAGTTCTACAATTTTATTATCTCTTTCTTGCAATTGCATTAAAAGATTTTCATTTTTATTTTTCAAAGATGTCTCTAAAAGTACAAAGTGCTCCTGCATTGTTCGCATTTCGTCTTTCGTATCTTCTAGAGTGTCTAACGTCGTTTTACCCTTTTTTGAAAGATCTGCAGACATAAGGGTAACTGCCTTTGTCTTAGATTCAATAACAGAATCTTTTTCTTTCAAGTTTTCCTGAAGATCCATAATTGTAGCTTCAAGCTCCAAAATTTTATTATTAAGTTCTGTAATTTTACTTTCTTTTTCTTGAATACTTTCTATTTGAATTGGTGACATGATCTGTAATAAAAATATTAATTATTAAATATTTTATATTAATTACTTATATAGTAAAAATATTAACAAAGAATTTTAAAAATTAATTACTAACATCAGAAGTAATCATGACTGGTTTTACAGCTGTAATGGATATTTGATCCTTTTGAAGAGCCATTACTGTCACATCTTTTTCTTCTAATTGTTGCCTAATAGCTTCTACTTTTTCTTCAACTGCTCGTTTAGTTTCACTTATTTCTTTATTACGTTGTTCAAAAGCTTTTCTATTCTCTGCTAGCTTTTTTTGGAGTAAAGTAGACTTTGCTTTTGCAGTTTTTGCTTGACTAATATCATCAATATTTTCTTCAGGTGTATCTGTTAAAGCAGTCTCAGATATACGAGCTATATCTTTAGAAGGCAAATTTCCTTCTCTATTTCGACGTGATAACTTAGCTCTAGATTTAATTTTAGAAAGTCTCCTTGCATATTCCTAAATTTAAATTATAATTTTCTAAATAAAATAGTCAAATTTTTTTCATTGAACTTTTATAAATTAATATTTATTACCTGAACTTCTTCTTCTTTCTTTTTTAAACTTTGTTTATTTTTCAACATAATTTCTTTCAAAGATTCCAACTGACTTTTATTTTGTTCACATTTTTCTTTTGCATGTAGCATAGATTCAGGTGCATCCCCTTCCATTGTTCCTGGTGGTTCTTCTGATGCACTCCACATTATGAACTGTAATATTAATAACAATAAAAACCACTTCATTATAATTTATGCAAGATAGACTTAAACTTTTATAAATAAGAAATTATGAAATCAATGGCAGTGAAAGTTTCTATAAAGTGGCCAGACAATGTGTCACCCAGTGCTCTCATTTTCATAGACTAATTGGATGAAAGCTTGAATAAGGTAAACTAATTGTATTATCCGTATGTATAGATACTGAATGTCAGAATTAACATTCTAGTTACCTTGTGGCATAATTCTTACAACATAACACTTAAACATGAAATGATATCTTATATAAATTTTCAAATGAAGAAAAATGAAAAAAAATACTAATATTATAATTAATATTAACAAATAATTATTAATAAATAATTATTGCATATATAAATCTTTTTTATCAATAAATATATTTAAATGCATTATATATATTAATTCTATTGTATTATTAAAAAATATTTTTTAATAATACAACATATAATTTTTTTATGTTTTTAAATTTATATTATAATTTTAATATAAAATAATGAATATATT